ACTCCACACTGCAAGGTGCAGGAATACTGGGAAAACTTGGGCGTATTCCAGATGCAAGACTTTGCCCCAGTTCCTATCTGTAACTTGAGCAAAAAGATCATGGACCTCCAAGGACTTTGATAAAGACTATACCTTCTGCTCTTGTCTCCTGTGCTCGCACAATGATAAAGAGGCACGCAGCCGAGCTAGATAATGACCACGAACAGAGCTGAGCCTTGCTCCTGTCTGTAACTTGAGGCTCTCCAAAGTAGTCTGTCTGAGAGCTCCTCCCAGACAAAGCTGTCTGGGAACAATAGGGTAGCTTCCCCAGAGGGCTGGCTAGAGAAAGGGGCAAGAAGGTCACTCAGGAACAATTCTCCCATGAGGCCTGGAAGGACTTCTAACGTGTCCTGTAAATCTTTGGGCAATTTATCTTCTATGGAAGCTACAGTCCAAGTCAGAGTTGAGATGGAGGATTCAGTGGACTGAATCGTGCCCTCTAAATTGATAGATGAACGTATTATTCCCTGAAACCTGGGCATGGAGCATGACTTAGGAGGAAAAGTCTCTTTGCAGAAATACTTATGGATCTTGAGATGACATCATCTTGAAATTTCTTGGTGGACCCTAAATCTAATGACAAGTGTCTATCTAAAAGACAAAAAATAAGTAAAGAATAAGGGAGAGAAGGCCACGCGAAGACAGAGGAGGCAGAAATGGAAGCGATATATCCCAAAGCAAGGAAGAATTCTCCCCTCGAGCTCTCAGAAAGAGCACTGTCGTGCAACACCTTGAATTTAGGCTTCCGGCCTGCAGAACTGTGGAAAAGTTAATTGCCGTTTTTGTCGGTCACCACGTTGGTAGCAATCCACAGCTAAAGATCAGAGCGCTCAGCAGGGCTTGTCAGCGTTGAAAACCAACGATGCCAAGCCAGCTCCCGTTGAACCAATAACAGCTCACAGTGACCGCAGATGCGCAGAGCAGAATGGAGTCCCATAGTTTCCGTGGTTGTGACCTTTCAGAAGTAGAGCCTAGACCTTTCTTCGGAGATGCTTCTAAGGAGGTTCCAAACAATCTTCCAGGAGTGGCGGAGCAAGAACGCAGGTGGTATCCAGTTCAGCAGAAAGAACACGTGGAGCCCTCCCCCCCAAATCAAGCAGCCTCGGTACCCTGATGAGGAAAACAGAATGCATAAGCCATGGTGGATCAGATGTTGTGCAACATGCATTCCCCTGACTTTAAGAAGAAAAGGATTATTGATTCAAAAGTAACTCACATTTGAGGAACCCTGATGGCTTGGGGTGCAATCCGCCAGGTCAGCAGTTGGAAACCACCAGCCGCTCCCTGGGAGAAAGCTGAGGCTTCCACTCCTGTGAAGAGTGAACGTCTCCGAAATCCAACAGGGGCAGTTCTACCCTCTCCTATAGGCTTTCTAGGAGTTGGAATTAACTTGATAGTAGTGAGTTTGGTTTGGGTTTATACTGAATGATATAGCAAGATTAAATTTCTGGCCACTAATAAAATGGGGAATGTATGTGCTAAATTAAATTCATTTATAGAAATATTTAAAAAGTTATTCTAGTTTTGCATACCCACGTTCATGTCTAGATTTTTTTCAGATAAGCTATTCTACATGTGAGATTTATTGGGAGGAGTAAAATCAAATGCAATGGCCTCTATTTTAAAGTTATTATTATTGTATTAGAACTGTTTTACCAATGAGGACACTGCAATTCAGAATGGGCTAGTGGTGTCCCCTCAGTCAAGACTGGAAGAGTCCATTTGCTAAATGAGAACTCCGGCCTTTTTTTGAATCAGGATGTAAATTATGTCTCCTTACTTCAACTGTCAATGTCATAGCAGGAAGAGCAATGTGCACGTATGCTTCCCACAGTCAGTGTCTGACACACTGATGGAGTTCAATCAACTTTTGTCCAGTTTAATTGTGTAACATAACATCCTTGTCCTTGGGTCACCTGCCATCTGTCGAGTGTGGGGGAAATAGTTAACAATCAAATCCTCTGCCAGCCCAGAAACCCTCGCCACAAAGGTAGAAGAGAAAAAAAAAACAGTTTTGTGATTGAAGAAGCAAGAAACAAACGTTTAAACCTTCCAGTGCACATCGCAGGCATTGTGCTAACGAGATTGCAATTTTACCCGTTCCTCTATCTAGGCAGATATAGCCCATTACATGCATGTTCTCATGACAAGCAATAACCAGCCCTTTAAAAATGTCCTTGACAGCAGCATTTGTTAAACAATTCATTCTAAATTCACCTGGTAATTGGAATGGCCATCTGAGTTAGATAACTGCCTTTATCCAAAGGAAAAAATGAAACCTTTGTATCTCTAGAGCAGTGGTTCTCAACCTTCCTAATTCGCGACCCTTTAATACAGTTCCTCATGTTGTGGTGACCCCCAAGCATCAAATTATTTTCGTTGCTACTTCATAACTGTAATTTTGCTACTGGTACGAACTGTAATGTAAATATCTAATATGCAAGATGTATTAGGAGACCCCTGTGAAAGTGTTGTTTGACCCCCAAAGGGGTCGTGACCCACAGGTTGAGAACCGCTGCTCTATGGCCAGCAGGTAGTTTCACAATTTGGAGCCAGGTGTAGTCGTGTCACTAAACGGAGGCTGAAAATTTCACAAGGTGAGACTGTCAGAGGGCATGACACCAGCATGACTCCCTAAGATTTTTTAAAATGCAGTGTAAACTGTGAACACTGGTGAGCTGGCCGGCAGGGGTGCAGCTGTTCACTGGGATGGGGGGAGGGGGGCGGGGGGAGGGAAGCAGCTGGGTGCTGATGCCAGACGAGGTGGCCTAAGGTGGCCTTCACAGCTTGTGTATCTACTAGCCGGATGCTGTGGGATGCGGAGCTCACATATTTACCAACAGTAATAAGCATTTATCAGTTCCCATAGCTTCTTTGGGACAGACACCAGGGGAGTCACGTGTCTCCTGATATTGCAGTCAGCATGTTGGCTGAGGCCATGACCCTCCGAAGATTGCATTGGGATGTGAAAGCCACACCTCTAATTCTCTCCCCTCACAGGCTATTGTTGTTGCTCTCAGGAGGGCCTCCCAGTTGACTTCAGCTCGTGATGACACTACGGCCCAAGGGTGCAGAATAGGGCTGCACAAGGGACTTGTAAGGCTGAGACTTTTTGAAAGGCCTGTTTTTCTAGGAGTCTCTGGGCAGGTTTGAACCACCAATCTTTCAGCTCATTCTTGAGAATTTAACTGTTTGCATAACCCAAGGACCTCTAACCTACTAAATTACCTGCCATATAATGGGGTTCCAAAAAATTCATGGAAAGTGAATGTAAAAGATAAGGTAAAATTTCCACAAATGTTAAACCTCTCTTCACTGATATAACATATTGGTCACCCAAGGAGCCCCGGTGACCTGTAATGGACTAAGCACTGGTCTGCTAATTAAGGCTGGTCCTTCAAACGTTTGAGCCATGCCAAGGGAGAGAGAGGATGCTCTTTCCACCTGTGCAGATTTACAGTCTCAGACTCTCGATGGAGTAGTTCTAGTCTGCTTTAATAGATCACACTGCGTCCGAATCAACTCAATGGCATTTGGTTTGGTTTGGTTGTTTTAATTGGTTACAGGGGTAAGCCGTGTCCATGTGGAAAGGTATTACACAGGGCATGAATTCTAGAAACACTAGGGGCCATTTTTGAGGCCCAATCTGAGAATTTTTAATGACTGCATATATATTATTCACACACACACACACACACACACACACACACACACACACACACACCAGTATGCCTAGTCTCATAGCTACCTGGTCACTGTGTACTGGAGAGATGCACAGGAAGATGCCACTGTGCTGACATGGGGCCTACACTGATGCCCTGAGGGACAGTATGAAAATTTTGACTCCACCACTTCAGACTTATGTGGTCACTGCCTGTCTCCAAGAGCAGAGCCCACCCACCTTAGTGTCCACTTGTCATTCGGCTGGCCACTTTTTCATCAGCCCTTCTTCTTCCAAGTCTGCCTCTCTTCCCTTCCCCATCATGGGTTTAAAACTCTTCACTGCCCCTTTTCTGCAGCCACTTGCCCTGCTCTGTCTCCCACACATGAGCAGCCAGGAGCTGCTATCATGAAAGGGTCCTCATCTTAGGGCCAGTGTCTCTCAGTGGGCACCTGGATGGAGTGGGGAAGCAGCATTGGCTGGGCATCATCACCCTTTGACTGCCCCAGTAGTGTCAGAAGGCCAGTTGCCTGAGGCAAGTGCAATGGGACAGCCAGCCCCAACGGGCCAGGGCAGGCATAGGACCCAGAAAGCTAGTAAGAAACAGGTCCATGTAGCCAGAAGAGTATTTCCAGTATATCCTCCTCCCATAGCGATTTCTGATCTCTGTCATAGCGTATGGGACTATGAGCTTGTATACCATTGGATTTACCTTTGGTTGGATGCATGTGTAGATGCATATATATGCAATTGTAAAGTGGCCTGAGTGGACATTAAGTGTTGAACACATGTATAGGAGTGGCTTCAAAATGTTCATGGAAAAATGGAATTAGAAGATTATGAAAATTTCCTACATACTTTTGAGTCCCCCATATGTGCATTCGTGTGTGTATTATCTATTTACAGGATGTTGGATATCTATACCATTTTTAGTGTTTTATTATTATTAACCATGTGAGTATCTTTACATATTAAAGTTTGTATAAATATTTCAAGTTATTTTCTTAGGATAATCTGTTAGAAGATGGAGAGTTGAATTATAAAAGATACTTCATTTTCTTAATTAAATAGACTTCATAAAGTGGAATATTATATATTATCCATTTCAATTAACACATTTCCTTTAGTAAATTTGTGACACATGCAAAAATTCAAGGAAAATAATTCACAATGGCATGTTAACTTCCTTTATGAATTCAAGCTAGAGTATATTTGAGGCCCAATTTACTTGTTTTGTGCATATAACATTTTTACGTATATGGCATAAAGATTTTTTCATTGTTATTTAACCATTTTGTAGATTCTCCTGAGCTTGTTCGTGGCTGTTATTTTGGACAACTTAGAACTTGATGAGGATCTAAAGAAGCTTAAACAAGTAAGTAATGTATTGGCAATTTTTAACCAATAATTTTTTAAAAGGACAAAACCATATACTTCTGGGTAATATTAAGACAGTTTAAGTTGCAAAGATATAAACATAGAATGTAATAAATTAAGGCAGATGGAGTTAGTAAAATGATTTTCATTTAAATTTAACCTGGGTGTAATATCAACAAAGGAAACTGTGTTATCCTATAATTATTCTGGGAATCCTTTAAGATCATTATTTTGAGTAAAAGTAAGATGGAGTATTATGTTGGGTTTGGAGATTCATTTCCTCCTTCTACAAAATGAAAAATATTTGGAAATGGAATGTCTTGGGCTCAGATCGCCATTTTACATCATTATATATAAGACAATTGTTCATTATCCTAAAAATCCATTTTTCCTCTAAATTTTGAAATAAAATGTAGTCTGGGTGTCCACGGTGACGATAGGAAATGGAATTGAATCAGCGATGTGATGTGTTTCCAGTCTGTTTCAAATAGACAGGGTGTTGGAAACGAGTGGGTCCAGCAGGAGAACTGCAGTGAGTGAAGCGTCTGTGGTTGAAGGTGTCAGCAGCAGGAGCAGTCCTGCTCCTGCTCCCTGTGACCCGGAGAATACTGTACTGCACTTGGGAGATGAGCTTCCAACCAAGAGTGCAGGATCCTCCGAGGGCAAGAATTGGTGAGAGATGGAGTCGCTGGATCAAACCACCTTGATTTACCTACCCTATAAAACTGTAAGACCAGTTGACATATTAACATCAAACTTCTAAAACAAATTCCATCGTGAATTATATGAAGACCTTATATATTCAGAATCATACCAGAACTCTCTATTTTTTTAAAGCAAAGATATAATCACTTTAAACAATTTTGGTTATTCTTATGGCTAATGACCACTTTCCACATTTTAATTTCCAAAGGCTATACTTTTGAACAAGGATAAAATTAATATGTGACATAAAGGCTCCTGGAAATGGAAACTGCAAGTTCTTTCTATCCTGCAACGGTGCAGTAAAATGGCTATCTGGGGACAGCGCGGGTGATTTCATTCAGATCTATGTTTTAAAACTTCATCCACCACCATCAAGTTGATGGTTCTGACCAATAGTGACCCTGGCTAGGGTTTTCCAGGCTGTAGATCTACAGTGTAGATCTTCATGGGAGCAGACAGCCTCATCTCTCTCCCAAAGAGCAGCAGATGGAATTGAATTACTGACCTTGCATTAGCAGTCCTGTCCTTACCTGGCAGGGCGTACCAGCACGATACCTTTAGATCTCTTAAACAGGACCAATAAAAGCCGGCTCTTGTGGATACCCACCTTAGCCTATGCTTTACAAATTTAGTATTTAGAGACAGATTTTGACAGTCTACCGCAAAGTGATTGGGTTAAGAAAACAAGAAAGAATTGTCTCACAGACCTAGATACTAGAAATCAAAATCAGAATATTGGCCATAATGACTCCTTAAGACTCTGAGAAAGGAAATATTCCAGGACTCTCTCTTCTCTCCTAGCTTCTGCAGGCTTCCAACAACCCCTGAAATTCCTTAACTTGTCTCCTTTTATCCATATCATCTTCCTCTGTCAGACATTCCATGTCTGTTCTCCTATTTGGGAAGACACCATGCTGATGGAATTAGAACTCACCCTACTTCACTTTCAAAGATCCCATTTCCAACATTATTCAATTTATGAACACCTACCCCGTGTCCTCCAAAATAGCATGTTCTCCTCACATGCAAAATGCATTTGCCCCAGCCCAGCATCCCCAAAAGTCTTAACCCATTACGGCATCAACACTAATTCTATTGTAGCTTCTTTTAAATCAGATAATGTGTGAGACTCTGGATATGGTTTCTCCCGTGAAAAATTACCTGCATCCACAGATCTGAAAGTTATCAGCTTCCAAAATACAGTGGTGGGGCATGTAAAGGATAGGAATTCCCATCCCAAAAGAGAGAAATGGAAGGAGTGATGGTACCAAATATACCCTAGACCCAGCAAGGCAAATATATTAGAGCTAAAGCTTCACAATCCTCTTCTGTTCTCTAGACCCACAGAAGTAGTGGCCTCGCTCTCTCAGGTTGCAGTGGTAGCCTTCTTCTCATGGGGCATGGAGACGGGACCTCCATCCCTGTAACCAGCAAGGTGGTACTGCCCTTCATCATCAAGGTGTTGAACCTGCCTTCTGAAACTAGGTAGGCAGTGGTCCTGCTCCTCAGACTGAAGCCTGCTGGCCTCTGAAATGCTCCTGGGCTTATTTATGCTCTCCTTTTCTTCAAGGACAATGGATATTTAAGTCCAGCAGTTCCACGAGCCTGTTTCCTGATGGAATCAGAAACTGGATAGCTTTCCTTTATTTTCACCCACCATTGTCTCATTCGGTCAAAGAAGCTGGCAGTGTTTCTGCTGAGAGAGTTGATTACATCTGTCAACAACAAACCTAATCTCTTAAAAAAATGATTGTCAAACCGCATCCTTGGTGCTCTCTTCAAGCATGCTTTGTCGCTTTGGATAAGAGATCTTCAAGGGCTGGTTCCCTTTCGCACCCTGCATTCTCCACCTCTCTCCTTCCTTACACAGCAACAAGGAGAAAACAGGCTATCCCTTCAAAATATTACTTAGAAATTTCCTCAGCCAAATCTCCAAATTCATTACTTACAAGTATTACTTTCCTCAAATACTTCTTAGGTCTCACCAGAAGCACATTGAACAGTCACAGTACTAGCAGCAACGTTCTCTCTGTGACGAATGAATATTTCTATACAGTCTTTACTCACTTCTTTCTGAACCCTTCCTAGAATCACCTGTGGTATTTCCAATTCAGCCAATAGTCTCATGACGACAATCTAGGCTTTACTATAAAGTAAGTGCCTCACCCCCCCTCCTGACTCTGCCTATTACCTATTCAACCTGCTTCCAAACCTTCAGGTGTCAGTACAAGAACATTCCACTTCACAGTTCACAACTCTGTCTTAATTAGGGCTTTGTAGAGAAACAAAATCAGTAACACAAGATAGATAGATGATAGATAGATAGATGATTAGATAGATAGATAGATGATAGATGGTTAGATAGATAGATAGATAGATAGATAGATAGATAGATAGATAGATGATAGATATTAAGTGCCATTGAGTCAAGTCTGATTCATAGCTTCTGGTCCTACCCCATCTTCACAATTGTTCTTGTTTGAAGGCCATTTTTGCAGCCATTTTTGTGTCAATCCATCTCGTCAGAGCCTTCCTCTTTCTCATTGCCCCGTCTTTTCCCTAGCATGATGTTCTATTCCAGGGACTAGGCTCTCCTGATAATATGTTCAAAGTATGTGAGACAAAGTCTTACCATTCTTGCCTCCAAGGAGCATTCTGACTGTACTTCTTCCAAGACAGATTTGTTTGTTCATTTGGCAGTCCATAGTAATTTCAATATTCTTTTCCAACACCGTAGCTCAAATGCATTGATTTTTCTTTGGTCTTCATTATGTAATGTCCAATTTTCATGAGCAAAGCTGGTGATTGAAAATAACATGGCTTGGGTCAGATGTACTTCAGCGCTCAAAATGACATCCTTGCTTTTCAACACTTTAAAGAGGTCCTGTGCAGCACATTTACCTAATGCCCTGAGTGAGAGTCAGAGAGAGAAAGAGTGTTAAAAAAAACTACTGCCATCAAGTCAGTGTTGTCTCTTAGCGACCTTATAGGAAAAGGTACAGCTGCCCTGTGGGTTTCTCAGACTAACTTTTTTTAGGAGTAGAAAGACTGTCTTTCTCCTGCAGGGTACCTGGTGGTTTCGAACTGCTGACCTTCCAGTTAGCAGCTCAACCTGTCACCTCTATGCCAGATGTAAACAGGGAGAAAAAGAGATTTATTTAGAGAAAATGGTTCATCAGATTCTGGGGCCCGACAAGTCCAAAATCAAGCAGCAGACTGGAACTAGGATAGTTTATGTCTATTCCCAGTTTTCAGATATAATCTTCCTTAAGAAGCTCAGTTTCTGCTTTTCACTTCCTCAACTAATAAGTCCCATGCACAAAAGGAGTATAATCTGCTTCGTTTAAGAGCAACTGATTTAAAATTCAATATTGTGTACATTCCTTCACAGTGACTTCTAGTCCAGCCTTGGACTAAACAAGTGGACACTATAAGCTCGAAGTGTTGGCCTTAAATAGTAACCATCAATCATGTTATGTCTGCTTCAGATCTGAATATCTCCTGATACAGTGTACTAAAGAGCTCTACATTTTCTTACTTGTTTATTTACCAGCTTCTATATCTATATGGTTTTCCATATTCACTGGTCAAGCAAACTAAGATGTGTTTCCAGCTCCCATCCATAGCACAGTTTTTGTTAACCCACTCCACTGAGTTTCTTCTGGCTCCTGGCAACCTTATATAAGGTTTCCAAGGTTGAAAATCTTTATGAGAACAAAGACTCATCTTTTCTCTCACAAAGAAACTTGTAGGTTTGAACCACAGACCTTGCTCACAGTTAGCAGCCCATCACTTACCCCACAGAGCTACTGGGGTGTTAGGCTGGGTTCTCTACACAAGTAAAGCCAGTGTTTACATATATATATATGTCAAACGAGTGTTTTTATCTTATGATTTATTTTAATTAGAAGTTAATAAATATTTAATTTCATTCCATAGTTCAATCATTTCAAGTAGTATTTTACAACAGCTACCATAATCCGTTTCCAAACATTCTTTCCCTTTCTGGACTCCTTGACATTAGCTCTCTTTTACATCCCCACACTGTACTCATCCGCCGAAACCCTTATTCTACTTGTTGTCCCCGTAAGTTCATCAACCCTGGGTTTCATATACCAAAAAACAGAAAAACAAATAACACAAACTAAAGAGGGTGGCCCCCAGTGACATAACACATCTGAGTAAAACCCTCATAAGAACAAACTAAAAGCCGAAAAATACAGAGAACGTTGAAAACCAGATCAGGTCTAGCACGCACCAGAGAGGGAATCCCCAGACAAGGTTTCAACCATC